TCAAAATGGAATTGATAGAATCTGTAAATAGGAGCTTTTACAGCATACCTCTAACACCGGGCGCGCGCTTGCGTGCGGTGGGCTGGGCAAGTAGCTCACGGCCTTTGCTCCTCCTCCTCTCTATTTTGCTGAGTATTCTAAGTGTTAAATGCCTTCTATTCAGCTGAGGAAGTGGGATTATGAAGAGTAGTAACGGGCGGATTGCCCAAAGCTAGCAAGAAGGGGACAAAACTCTTCCACATGCACATGGGACTATGGAGAAGTCTTTGACTTGTCTTGCATGTGTTTTTGGAGTAATGTGCAGAGAATCTTGGTAGGAGACAAGGGTCTGGTCAGCCTAGGTAAGTGGGGAAGCATATTCTCTTACACCTTGAATAAAATATTCATGTGCACATGCATCCACTTGGGCTTAGGACTAATTGACTTTGACTTGGACTATCCTAGGGTCAATTGGGCTGAAAAGACTCCTAAATAAGTTGGTTGCATCCTCACAAATTTGGGCTCGGTGAAAGTGGGCTGGATTTTCCCGAATTGGGCTCGGAAGGTGGGCTGTCGCTACTGGGCGCGCTGTCTGGGCGCTGTCTGCATGCGCTGCTGGGCTGCCTGCGTGCGCTGGGCTGTGATACAGAAGTGGTCATCAACCCAGGCGAGTCCGACAAGGAAGGTGACAATGGACTCGATATTTGGTTGGAGAACATGTTGGAGGAGCCAGCAAGTCCAATTTACCGGCCATCATGTGAAAGAGATTGGCCGAGAGGGTGTGGTCCACAGACCGAGTTGAAGGCTAAAAAGTGCCGGATCAAAAGACGACGCAAAACAAAGGCACAAAAGGCGAGCCAATGTTGTGGGCCGTGCACGAGGAAGAAACGGGAGTGGCATTCAGAGTTCCGAAGAAGGGGAAGGCGAGGAATGGACGATGGCTGGATATGGCGTGCAGGTGACTGCATTGGGTTGGATGGTTGGGATCCATGGCCGTCAGGAGAACCAATGGAGTCAAGGGACAAAGGGATCGATGAGAACCGATTATCGGGCGTATGGCGCGCATCGTGCGGTGATGCGCGCAAGAGGTCGAAGGGTCGAGGCGTTAAACAAAGACGCAGCGCCGAGATGTTGGACGCTAGTGACGCGCGATCATGCGCAGGAGGTAGACAAGCTGCGGGGGTCGGTGATACGCGGGGAACCGCGGGTGTACACGGGCGCGCGATAGGCGATCGGGACACAGGCGTCGACGGTACGCGCGGGCGGGCAGGCGAACGCGAGAAGAGTGCGGGGGCGTCGAACGTGGGCAGCAACCGCGCAAGTGGCGAGGACGCGCGCGAACAGGCCGATAGCGAGGGCGCGCGGACGAGAGCGCACGATTGGGGCGTGCATGCGCATGGCCTAAACCTTGCAGGCTTAGGAGTGTCGAGCGATGGGGCACACGCGCATGAGGAAGGCGGCGGCAGCTGGGCGAGCGCGCTGGCGCGCGATTGGGTGATCAGCGCGCGAGGCCTAGTCCGCACGGGACTAGGCGAGACCATGGCAACGGATGATGCGTGCCAGGCGCGCGCGCGCGAAGCCGCGCGCGACAAGGACTAGGGAAACCCGAAGGGCGGCGCACACGCGTAGGACGAGAGAGGTGGCCGAAATTGCTTGTGTGGTTTGAATTGTTTGGAGTGCAAGCCAAGCAATATCAAGATCTAGTCAATTTAAGACTTTGATATATTTAGTTTGCTTCTTGCACAATAGTATCTAGAATGTTTAGGAAGTTAATATTTTATTGCTTTAATATGTTTCCGAGGTAGATTAGAATTAGTCATAGTTAGGATCTATAAATAGGGAGCATCCCTCATTGTTTTTCATGTCCAAGAATGATGAAATAGAAAAGAACGTTTGTTCGAAACCGTGTGTTAGAGTCGTGAGATTCGATCATGCAATCGAATTGGTGAGGCTAAGACCCAAGCCAGTTCAACGATTTAGAGAGGCTAAGACCCGATCTATTTCGAGAGTGTAGCGAGGCTAATACCCGAGTGAACTCAAGTATCGTGAGAGGGTTAGGCTAATAACCGAGTCGATCACACCTATCGTCGAGAGCAAGGCCGTGGCGAAGCCGTGATCGAGACAAGTCGAGGGAACGCAACACCCGATCCTTCATCATTGGTGCTTTCATTGAGAGTGATCGATTGGGTGTTCGTGAACTTTTCCTATCCCATACTTTTTCTTTTGTTCGATTTTTTTTGAGTCTTTGTGTTCGAATTTTTTCGAATCTTATCCCTTAATTTTTGAAAAATTCGTGAGTATCAAAAAAAAAAAGTGTCATCTAGTCCTTTTGTTTGATATTTTTTCGGTTATTACCTTTTTGTGAAGGGGCCGAATTTCTTTTCTTTTAGGGTCGAAATTTTCGAAATTCTTGTTCGAATTTTTCATTTATTTTTTGATTTTTTATATAGAGTCTTAAAAAAAAAAAATTATGTCGTATGAGCCAATGGACGAGATGGATTGGGAAGATCTCGAACTATTGGAGAGTTTGGAGAGAGAACTTACCCCATGGGAGAGCACATATCTAGACGAGCTCCATGAACGAAGAAATCGAGAAGAATACGAGCGACAACTCGTAGAAGGCCGAGGAGCAATGGAGGGTGAAGTTCAAAACCGTGAAGATGATGGTGCGCTTAATTTTCTAATCCTTGAGGACAAGGAAAGTCTCGAAGAGGAGGGGAATGATACGGAAGTGGTCATCAACCCAGGCGAGTCCGACAAGGAAGGTGACGATGGACTCGATATTTGGTTGGAGAACATGTTGGAGGAGCCAGCAAGTCCAATTTACCGGCCATCATGTGAAAGAGATTGGCCGAGAGGGTGTAGTCCACGAACCGAGTTGAAGGCTAAGAAGTGCCGGATCAAAAGACGACGCAAAACAAAGGCACAAAAGGCGAGCCAATGTTGTGGGCTGTGCACGAGGAAGAAACGGGCGTGGCATTCAGAGTTCCGAAGACGGGGAAGGCTAGGAATGGACGATGGCTGGATATGGCGTGCAGGTGACTGCATTGGGTTGGATGGTTGGGATCCATGGCCGTCAGGAGAACCAATGGAGTCAAGGGACAAAGGGATCGATGAGAACCGATGGAGTCAAGGGACATATGGCGTGCAGGTGCAGTGATGCGCGCAAGAGGTCGAAGGGTCGAGGCGTTAAACAAAGATGCAGCGCCGAGATGTTGGACGCTAGTGACGCGCGATCATGCGCAGGAGGTAGACAAGCTGCGGGGGTCGGCGATACGCGGGGAACCGTGGGTGTGCGCGGGCGCGCGATAGGCGATCGGGACACAGGCGTCGACGGTACGCGCGGGCGGGAAGGCGAACGCGAGAAGAGTGCGGGGGCGTCGAACGTGGGCAGCAACCGCGCAAGTGGCGAGGACGCGCGCGAACAGGCCGATAGCGAGGGCGCGCGGACGAGAGCGCGCGATTGGGGCGCGCATGCGCAAGGCCTAAACCTTGCAGGCTTAGGAGTGCCGAGCGATGGGGCACACGCGCATGAGGAAGGCAGCGGCAGCTGGGCGAGCGCGTTGGCGCGCGATTGGGTGACCAGCGCGCGAGGCCTAGTCCGCACGGGACTAGGCGAGACCATGGCAACGGATGACGCGTGCGAGGCGCGCGCACGCGAAGCCGCGCGCGACAAGGACTAGGGAAACCCGAACGGCGGCGCACACACGTAGGACGAGAGAGGCGGCCGAAATTGCTTGTGTGGTTTTAATTGTTTGGAGTGCAAGCCAAGCAAGATCAAGATCTAGTCAATTTAGGACTTTGATATATTTAGTTTCCTTCTTGCACAATAGTATCTAGAATGTTTAGGAAGTTAATATTTTATTGCTTTAATATGTTTCCTAGGAAGATTAGAATTAGTCATAGTTAGGATCTATAAATAGGGAGCATCCCTCATTATTTTTCATGTCCAAGAATGATGAAATAGAAAAGAACGTTTGTTCGAAACCGTGTGTTAGAGTCGTGAGATTCGATCATGAAATTGAATTGGTGAGGCTAAGACCCAAGCCAGTTCAACGATTTAGAGAGGCTAAGACCCGATCTATTTCGAGAGTGTAGCGAGGCTAATACCCGAGTGAACTCAAGTATCGTGAGAGAGTTAGGCTAATAACCGAGTCGATCACACCTATCGTCGAGAGCAAGGCCATGGCGAAGCCGTTATCGAGACAAGTCGAGGGAACGCAACACTCGATCCTTCATCAGGCTGCCTGTGCGCGGCCTGCGCGCGGGCTGTGCGGGCCTGGCGAGCTTCATAGGGCCAAATGACTTGAAAATTATTTCTAAGTGTCCGGTTTGACCCCGGCTTGACTTGAACAACAAAATAATAATAATAATAATAATAATAATAATAATAATAATAATAATAATAATCTCCAATAATTCATAACCAAACGGGGCGTTATAATACGATTGCGGTCTATACGTATGTCTTCATATGTTACAAGTATTACGAGTGGCATGTACAAGTATTACATCTTATAAGAGTAGTGTACTTATTAAAAAAAAATCTTCGGAGATTAAGAGTGGCATGTACATGTATTTTATATGGTTGTGGGCTTGGATGAACACAAAAGGATGTGAATATATTGAAATATAGTGTAGGTACTTATTATGCAGTAATGCTCCTCTACCCACGGTGGGCACATGTTAATATGTCCACCACTTATGTGGCATGCACACATTGGTGATGTATTTTTTTGAACATATTAACATCACCAATATGTGCATGCCACATAAGTGGTGGGCATATTAATATGTGTCCACCGTGGGTAGGGGAGCATTACTCATTTATTATGCCTCTTCAGATCCTCTATCCATTTTTACACGCGTCTTAATGTGGTCTAGGATTTTTCCCCGCAATCTAATACGTAAATTTTTCCACACATCTAATATTTATTATTAGTATTAAATATCAATAATTAATGAAATTTATAATTTTGAAATTAACTATATATTATTGGAATACATATAGACACAGTTCAGACGTTTTTTTTTTTTTTTTTTCTCAAAATTAAGTAGTATGCATATTATTGGAATACATATTATTGGAATACATATAAAAGTTTTACAAAATAAATTTAAATATTTTTATTGCAAAACTTTGATTATTTTTTTCATTGAATACATTATTAATTTAAAATATATAAGGTAATTTGAAATTTTTATTATTAATTTCGTTCTCAAAGTGAAACCGTATTAATTGGAGATACGTGCTTCTTAAATTGTGCAACAAAAAAAAAGGTATGTTCCTTATTGGCAGGGAAAATGATCCAAAGGGTCATCATAATCCCAACATATCACTTTAATGCATTAAGACACCCGTTAAAAATAATAAATAAATAAATTAAACCTCATTAATGAATGAATGCATCGATACACTGATATACGCAACACGACATTTAGAAAATGAAACATCTTGAACAATTGAACCCTATCTCTCCACTACTCACACACTCCTTCGCACTGAAAGAAAAGTCATCCCTATATATTTAGTATTGTCGAAGACTCAAAGTCAACTTCGATTTTCCATATATTACAACTCTCGCTTCTTGTTTGATCGAAACCGACAATAAGAAAACAAAGCTATGGGCGATTTTGCGCTGCCAACAACAAAAGAAGAACACTTCGACTGTGAGGTTGTGGATGCTCGAAATATGGGAAGAATGGTTGGAGGAAGCCTTATGTCGCATCCTACGCCGTTTTGTGGTGTTCGATCGTATGAGAGAAGAGGTCGACATCGTCAATTCATTTCATGAGATACATAGGACTTTTGTGCAGGAGACGGGTTCATGGTATACAGCTAGGGACGCTTACCGAATGTACAACGTGCTTAGGGACATGTTCATGACATTTCAGTGGTTGTTGGATCATCCTGGTGTGTATCACGATCCATTTGATTTTACCATTCATGTTCCACTTCTTGTCAGAAAACTGGCGCTTAAAGTACATGTTTGAACAATTGTTTTTTCATTCAAGTTTTGTCATACGTGTATTTGGGTTGACCGCAACTTCATTTTTTTTCATTTTTTTTGTTTATGATTGGCCTCTTGCAATGTACGTTTTGAATAAATCTGAGCCGAGATGGGACATTTTGAAAACCATATTCCAACCATTGGGGAATCTGTTGGAGAACCCAGGCGAAGAGAATCTGAAGACACCTAGAAACTTCGTACTTTTGTGCGAACTGTTTGAGGAATACATGGCACATCTGCAGGGTGGTATTAATTACTAGACAGTGCAGTTAGCTTATTTTGTTATGTGGTTATATTTATTTTGCATAATATGTTGTTTGAATTGTATGTTATTTTGGAGTATGAATGGAATTTGTTTTTCAGTTGTTTTTTTTTTTGGTCTGTTATATTTGTACATCTGTTATATGTATATATATATCCCATGTTACGGATTTAACATATATTATAACCTTCATAGTACTTTAAATGATAATGATCATTACTTTATTTAAATTGAAAAAAAAGCACAATTAATAATAAAGATTCATCATGAAATTACACTACACCAAAAAAGGCTTCAGATAACACTTTTCAAATAACGCTTT